TGTTTTGCAGAAGAAAAAAGTTTCAAAGAGAGATGAAGAGGCTAAGTCCCATCAATTGTAAAAAAAAAAGAGAGAATGATTTTAGTCTTTAGATTTCTTTTAATCAATAGCCACAAATTCTGATCTTCGAAAAAAAAAAGATTAACCAATAAAAAGAAGAGCGAGGATAGAAAAAAATATGACTTTGAACCCTTAGAGTAAACTCAATCAGTGGTCATGAAAAAGCAATAAAAACTGTACTTTTAGTTCTGTTTATTTTTTTTTAGAATTTTCTTAACCTTAAAGAATAAAAGTTATAAAAAAAGTAATAAAGTACCTGAAAATCTTTAGCAAACTAAAAAAGTTATGATCAAATTTTAGAAGTCAATGAATATATATTTTCATAATTCACATAATTTTTAAATCTATCAACTATTAGAATCCACAACTCTATACAAATTAGAGTACCTTTTCTAATTTGTGTCCGTAATTATAAGTCATTACATTTAATAAACTTACTTTTTGAAATGTATAAGTATCTTTTTTTTTGTTTTTATTAAATAGAAACTAAAATAGCATATAAATTACTAAACAAACATAATACAGTTAAAGTTGTTAATATAACATTTATCTTGTCATATTATCACAAATTTATAAGCCTCGTTAATTATGATTATCTTTTAACAAACATTAATGTTTTAGAAAAACAAATAATAATACCACATTGAAAGAAAAGATTTTTTTTTGAAAATTTTTAGCAGAATATCATATATTTAGTTTATCAAATAAATGATATGAAAAAACTATAAAATTCATGAAAATCTGTAGCAATAAGAAAATTTATGAAATTTTTTTAAAGTTAATGTACATATATTTTTCATAATCCACATAACTTTTAAAATCTACCAACTATTAGAGTCCACAAACTAGACACAAATTAGTCTTCCAATAAACTCTACACAAACTAGTCTGCCAAATAATATCATATATTTAGTTTATAAAAGGAATGATATGAAAAAGTAATAAAGCTCATGAACATCTGTAGCAATCAAAAACAGTAATGATCAAATTGTAGAAGTCAATGTATATATATTTCCATAATCCACATATATTTTAAAATATATCAACTATTAAAATCCACAATCTGTACACAAATTAATCTCCCAATAAACTCTACACAAATAAACTGTACACAAATTAGTCTCCCAATAAACTCTACACAAATAAACTGTACACAAATTAGTCTCCCAACTAATATCATATATTTAGTTTATAAAAGGAATGATGTGAAAAAGTAATAAAGCTCATGAACATCTGTAGCAATCAAAAACAGTAATGATCAAATTGTAGAAGTCAATGTATATATATTTCCATAATCTACATAATTTTTAAAATCTATCAACTATTAGAATCCACAATCTCTACACAAATCAATCTCCCAATAAATTTTACACAAATAAACTGTACACAAATTAGTCTCCCAACTAATATCATATATTTAGTTTATAAAAGAAATGATATGAAAAGGTAATAAAGTTTATGAAAATATATAGCAATCAAAAAAAGTTATGATCAAATTTTAGAAGTCAATGTATATATATTTTCATAATCCACATAACTTTGAAAATCTATCAACTATTAGAATCTACAAATTCTACATAAATTAGTCTCCCAATAAACCCCTCCACCCTAGAATAATTGAAGCTCAAGGAAGATAATCTTCATGGCGATAAAAAAACATCTATTAACACTTCATTCTAAATTTGACAAATCTTGTTAGTCTCTTTTATTGCTCCATTAAGAACCACCGAGACATGAAGAATTTTATATTGCTCCATTGAAAACAATGTTATTGAGATCGTCGGTCTAAATAGTTGATTAATCAGAATTTCTGCCTACTTTTCATAATGTAGTTTGTAGTAACTATTTCATCCCCATCAATTGATAACCATCAACGTTTGAAGCAATAAGTACAATGGAGAGGAGAAGGCAGAGAAGAAGACGTCATTCACTAAAGTTTTTGTGCTTCATGTGTCCTTACTAGCAAAGATGCTCGTACATAAAGAGACAAATGAGGCATTTGTCAACATCTGCTTTCAGATCTATCAAATACTTTTTCTAGATGTTTCAGTTGAATCAAATTTTTTGCGTCCAAAAATCTAAGTGAATCCATTGTTAATGGTTTAAGAACTTCCAAAATCCATTCAAATCTCATGTTATTCAAAAAGTTTATTTCTTATTGATTCTCTAATTTTAACTAAATCTAGTGTTATTGGGAGATTGATTCTTTAATTTTTTTCTAATAAGGCACAACTTTCAAAATATCATATGTATCAACAAAATCCATGTCATATTATTTTTTGAAAACAACATACACCAAATATCTATTGCACAGTCAATCCAAATTATATGTCCAAAATTATAAGTCATTACATTTTATAAATTTACCTTTTTAAATTTATAATTATATTTTTGTTGTTTTATTATTAAATAGAAACTAAAATAACATATCAATTACTAAAAAAACATAATATAGTTAATTTTTAATATAATATTTATCTTATCATATTTAAATAATTTATATGTATCATTATTATTATCTTTTTAATAAAAATAATGTTTTACAGTAAAACAAATAATCATAGCATATTTTTGTTGTTTTATTATTAAATAGAAACTAAAATAACATATCAATTACTAAACTAACATAATATAGTTAATTTGAATATGATATTTATCTTATCATATTTACATAATTTTATATGTATCATTATTATTAAATTTTTAATAAACAATAATGTTTTACAAAGGAAAAAATAATTATACCATATTAAAGGAAATTTTTATTTGAAAAACTTTAGCAGAATATCATATATTTAGTTTATAACGAGAAAGATATGAAAACGTAATAAAATTCATGAAAATCTGTAGCAGTATAAAAAAGTTATGATCAAATTTTAGAAGCCAATGCATATATATATATATATATATATATATATATATATATATATATATATATATATATATTCATAATCCACATAATTATTAAAATCTATCAACTATTAGAATCCACAAACTCTACACAAATTAGTCTCCCAATCAACTCTCTTCCCCTTCCCCCTCCCCTTCTTAGAATAGTTGAAGCTCAAGGAAGATATTCGTCAAAGCTATCCAAAACATCTATTAACGCTTCATTATGAATTGGACAAATGTTGTTAATCTTTTTTTATGGTTCCATTAGGAACCACTGAGACATGACAAATCTTATATCGCTCTACTGAAAACAATATCAATGAGATCGCTGGTCTAAATGGTTGACTAATTAAAATGTCTGGCTAATTTTAATAATGTAGTTTGCTGTAAGAATTTCTGCACCATAAAATGAATAACTATCAACACTTAAAGTAGTAAGAACAATTGTCACCATCCGCTTTCAGATCTATCAAATACTCTTTCTAAATGGTTCAATTGAAACAAATCTTGTGTCTTCCAAAAATCCTAGTTTATCCATTGTTTTTAGTTTAAGAATTTCCAAAATCCATTCAAATCTCTTGTCATTTAAAAGTTTAGTTCTTATTGATTCTCTAATTCTAACTAAATCTAGTTTTATTGGGATATGAATCCATGTGATATTATTATGTATCAATGATATTTTCAAAATCAATGTGATATTATTTTTGGAAAACAACATAATTGTTCCTTCCAAATACCTATTGCACCGTCAATCCAAATATATTGTCCAAAATTATAAGTCATTACAGTTTATAAACTTACCTTTTGAAATGTATAATTATATTATTGTTGTTTAATTATTAAATAGAAACTAAAATAACATATCAATTACTAAACAAACATAATATAGTTAAAGTTGTTAATACAATATTTATCTTATCGTATTAACATAATTTTATAAGTATCATTATTATTATCTTCTTAACAAACAATCATGTTTTACAAAAAAAAAATTTAATCATGCCATATCGAAAGGAAAGTTTTTTTGGAGAACTTTAGCAAAATATCATATATATACTTTATATAAAAGGATATGAAAAAGGTAATAAAGTTCATGAAAATCTGTAGCAATCTAAAAAAAAATAATGATCAAATTTTATAAGTCAATGTATATTTATTTTTACAATCCACATAACCTTTAAAATCTATCAATTTTTTGAATCCAAAAACGTTATAGACAATTCTACAAGCTGATAATGTTACTTGCCTAATGAGAATTTAGGCATGATTGCACCACCATGAATCACCATGTGGGATCCAAGCTTAAGGATACTCATTACACCATGCAATATATTTCTTGAACCATTTTCTCTAGTAATTTGCATAATTCACCTTCTGTAAGATGCGAAACGCAGACCCTTATGGTGCGTAATCATAATGAACCATTCGTTAAACCACTTGACTAAGTGTGTATTCACCATGATGATACATGGTTAAGTTATGGAACTTGCAATTAACGCTGATGTAAGTCTACGCATATAGGAGAATTATGTTTTACGAAGTGTAATATAAGATTCAATTGTACGAAACTTGAAAGGGCAAGTATTACATAAATTCAACTATTTTGGTAGGATTATGTGGGGTAGAAGTAGTTTTTTAGCTCATGCTATGCATGGCATGGTGATGTTTAATTTAATGATATATCAATCTAAACCGGAGTTGAGCAAAAGTATTTGGGTGACCTGGGGCGTAAATATTTCTATAAATAAAGTATCAGTCGTAATAGTTAGGAGAGTAGTTTACAGAGACAAAATTAGTTTGATTTCAAAATTTGGAGATAAAGCGGGACGATATCGAAAAAAAAACCCAAAGGGACCTGTCATGGAGATCAATGCTCCAGTTCCCAAGCTTCTTGTACAAGTAAGTCACCCCATCCATCTTCCTCATTCGATTTCATCATCCACCTGAAAAAGTCTTGTGTTCTCAGCTCATCTCCTCAGCTTTCCAAAGATGCCGTCTAGCAGAAGATCTCTGTCGATTGTCACTTCTTTTCGATCAATCTACCCACAATGATCCTCCCATCACATCTATTTCGAGTAATCTCACTCTCTCTTCTGCTCTATCGGAAACTGAATCTGTCGTCGTCGCTAAATTGGTACGATCTGTCTACAGTAGCGGATACGGGAATTGGAAGCAATTTGGGGGAATTCCAGGATCTGAGGTGCCCTAGAGAGCTCAATGGAGCGAAGATTTGGGGTTAGTATGATGAATTATTACCATCCTATCTTGGTTGATTCGATTCTGAGTGTGGATGTAAATGTGATTTGCAGATGGGTTACTCTCCGTCAAGACCACTTGTAAGTTTCGCCTCTCTCTCTCTCTCAATGATAGATTCAATTGCTTCCTTTGTTTGATTGAAAAACGTCTCTTGGTTTTCCTTTCTGGGTTTATATGTTTCATTGTTATGTGAAGCTGTAGTGAACATTTTTGAGTCATCTGAAGGACCATTGTGGAACTTGTTATTGTTCTCATCCATTGTGGTGATGGAGTTGCAGGCTTTTCTGACGATGAGGTGTTCTGTTATCATATCAATCTTGATGAGTATATATCTAACAAAAGAATCAAAAGACAACCTTCTCAGCCTAAGAGTGGTGCCAATTTTAGGTGTGCTAATTCGTTAATCTCTATCTTGTTTTTACTGAGTTTAATCCATTGTGATTTTCGACTTATTTTTGAGTTATTTTCAGTGGGACTGAAGTATCTCTGAGTGTCTCTGGAAGTATGGATCTTCTTGTGCCCCCCATAATTACCTTCTTTCAAAAGGTCTGTCTTCTCTTCCGCATCCTTGTTTCTCCTTGCCAAACTTCTTCTCAAGAATGCTTAGCGTGACCATATACACAACATTACAAAACACACTAGCATAAAGAACCAAGATAAAGAGCAAACATATCATATATTTTAAGCTAACGTTTGAAGTCTTGAAGTCTTTCACGGTTGCTTAAGATATTGAGTAATGATATTACTTAATCTTTTATCTTGCAGATGATTGTTCTGCAGATACCTGTAAGTCCAAGTTTAGCGCTTTGGTGATTTGGCAACTTTCTCTAGATTTTTTTTTTTTTTTCTAATTTGGTAACAGAACTCGCAAATCATGTTACAAAAAATCTGGTCCTTTTCTTCCCCTCCAGAATGTCACAATGGATCTGATGGTTAAACCAGGGGCTTCTCCTGGCATTCAAACTCAATACGTCTTTGTAGTGAACGCTGATGAAACTCCTTGCTTCACTGCCTCCAACCTTCAACAGTTAACGTCTGGTCTTAAAGACTATGTTTTAAGGCATGGGAACTGCTTGGATATGATGTGTGACCATTGCTTCTCTGATAGGTACTTAATATGTTAAGCCATTCTTGTTTCTTAAACACTTACGGCTTAACTTAGTCTTTGCTTCTACTGCTGAAAAAAGGAAGGCCAAGTCATTTAACGGTAACTCTGACAAATCTTGTTATATTCTAAATACTTTCAGAGAGCATCTAAAAGTTGGAAGTGTAACAGCTTGCCATGATGAAAATCGTAAGAGACCTGGAGGGACAATGGAAGTGGTGATTGTAATAAGTGACTTATTAGAGACAACTCGCCAATGCAGCAGATCACGTGACGGCAAAACAGAGGTATGATCAGTTCTCAATATTAAATACATCGGCCTATGTATGTTTGGTTGACCTTGAATGGTGAATTTCCCCAGGTTTTATACTTTGACAATTTCTCTCCTTCCCCTATTCCACAAGTTGCCTTGAGTGCATTGCAAAAAATTGACTGGAAAAGTTACGGTTTGATCCTGGCGAGTGTGAACGAACAAGATGGACATGTGTTTCTCGAATGGGAAAATTTCCCTTCATATGTTCAAATACATATCGCTCTCCATTGGTATCACAATAAGTATCCAACAAGACAAAAGACTGAGCCTGGTATAAATCTTGTGAAGAATGGAATTAAAAGTGCATTGGATAATTTAAAGGCTAAACATGAGGGTTTTCTTCTAAGCTCCCATGCTCGAAAGGTGCCTCTCTTAGTCAACCTCCTTTGAACTATTAGTGTCAATCTCTTAAATTTCTAAAAGGTTTGACCGAAGTTGTTTTTTTGCTGTTGTTTATCTTTCTTAGATTTGCAGCTATGTTCCTGACCTTGCAAGATCATTAGCAGGCCTCATATTCTCCTCTACTGACATAGACTTCCAAGGAGATTGCCTATCTGTTCTTGGCTTTCAGCCTCAAGAAGTTGAACGTGAAGCTGTTGAAGACTATATCCAGAGAAAGATTGTTGCGGTTATAGGAATGAATGAGAGTAAAACCCAAAAAGACCAAGAAGCTGCTCCCTTTCTGTTTTTTGAAGGCGAGTCTGAGACATCGTACTTTGAGGATGAGGAGATAGAAGGTGAGTATTACCCTTCCTCCCTGGAATGATACATCTGCTTCTGATAAAGGATACAGTAGATAGTCGCTATGTGAAAACTACATGTTATGGATGCATATAGTATTTGCTTTAGTATGTTTCCACCATAGGTTAAGAATGAATCCTCATGGGTAGGGCAAACTTGTTAACAGACACATTACATAGTCTGTCTTCAGTTTGTTATGTCTTGAGGTAAATTGTCAACACATTCATCTCTTACTGTTTTGTTTATTTTCAATAATGTTTGAATCAAGAACTTTCAACGCATGAAATACAGAAACTATATTTTCTTTTGTACAACTCCAATTTATATATCAATACAAACACTTTATTTCCTCAGTAGTGTAACGCATTACACACTTTACTACTATAGTCTTAAAGCTTTTCGGGTCAAGAAAAGGCAGCTAAGACCTGTGATTCCAGCTCACCAAGGTTCCTATGTCTGCTTATACTATTTCAAATTATGTATATCTATATATATAGATAGAGTGACAGGCCATGTGCACTTCCCTGTCAGACATCTAAATCAGCGGAAGGTGCACGGAAGTGTGTAATTTCAGGCTTAAAATCGAGAGTTTCATCATTATATACATCCCACCATTGATTAACTAACATCTTGATGTCTTCTCTGTCCATGTTGGTCTCTTCTCCTCTGTATCTCCATGGCTTAGATCCCTATCGATTTCATCAACATGAAAAGAAAATCAAACCTCAGCAGTCAGCTGGGGTTCGTAAGCAAAGAGAGAACTACTTACAGCTGCACAGTAGTGAACAACTTTGATTTTCTCCAGCTCCACATTCTCGGGGTGACGCCAAAGCATAGCAAGGACCAGATTGTAAACCAGAGGAATTGGTTTGTAAACTTTCTCAAAGAACATATTCAGAAAATCCTGCCAAAGCATAGTTACAAAGTACCAAACATCAAAAACGGGTCTTGAGAATAGGTAAGTAAACTTTGGTGTGGTGAACTATTGTTCCTCACTTGTTCAGCGAACGGTGAAGGCGGTGTGATCTTCAGGGTTTGAAGGAGGCTCTCGTAAGTCAAAGGGCTTGGTACAAACACAAACATACCGGCGTTGAAGTACAGAGGAGGAGGAGATTTCATATCTTCTGGCCAAGCGACTTTATCCGGACACTGTTGACAGTAACCTATTGAGTACTGTAATGAGTGGCTCCATGTTTTCTCACAGAAACAATCCATCACGGCATAAAAATACCCATCAGGCAATTCGAATAGGTCATCGATATTGTCAAAAACTTGAATATCTGCGTCCATGTAAATCATCTTGCTGTACTCTTCAAACTGCAAAAAGTTTTGCAAGTATAACTAAAAACTACAAAGAGCTTTTAACTATAACATATCATAAGCTAGGTTTTTGTGAAGCATTCGAATTTTCGAAATACTTACGTTCCAAATACGTAGCTTTGAGTAGTTAAGAACGTAATAAGCCATGGCAAACTCAACTTGGTTGTCTGGAGGATGAACAGGCTCGATCTCACGCACTATACAGCCCTGCGACCTCAAGATCTCTCTATGTTCCTTAGGGACGTCAGGTAACATAGCAACAACAAGAGGGTAAGCACTTTTAACCTTACGCAAACCCTTTGCTAATCCCACCACTCCCTTCACGTAGTCTCCATTACCTGCCAAAAACGTCACATAAGCCCTATCTGAAGGTTTCTGATGCACCTTCTCGAGGGCCATTTTGAGCAAAGAAAAAATATGGTGGAGTTCAGTAGAGAATTGAAAAGTTTTCTTGAGTGTTTGAGAAGTAGTAGCTTGGTTTCTATAGGATATGGCAACTTTTTAGACCAAAAAACTTGGGGCTTTTGCTTATGAGTAGTTTCCATGATATCCCACCACGACGTTTGATTAAATAGGAATAGGACGAAGGTAAATGCGGGAAGAAAACTAATAATATACTTCTTTTTAATTTATTTTCATAAAAATAACATTCATATATGAAAATGACCAAAAGAAATAATTTTTGAAGGATAAATATACACTTAAATCTTTAGGTTAACTAATCTACATTTTGGATTTAGAGTTAAGAGGTGAGTTTTTGGGTTAGGATTTCAAATTTTTAAAAATAGAAAATAGATATTATAAATTTCAAAATAAAATAAAACTATTTTGATCATTTTATATTTTAAGGACTATTTTTGTGACAAAGAATTAAAAAGAGTTATTTGAGAAAATTATCCTTCTTGATATTCTTTTATATATATCAGAGCCAATATTTTTCAGCTTGGTCATTACTGAAATGGTTTTCTTAAAATCCAATTTAATTTGCTTTAGTCGTTTAAATCGATCTAGTCAGTTTAAATGAGTAAATCATTCTAAATCTATATAAATTGATAAATTAGTCTACATCGATTAAATCAAATAACATCAAAGTGGATTATGAATATTTTAATTATATATTCTTTACCTTCAATTTGTTTATAAACAATATTGATATTTTTTTCTCCAAATTTATTTTCGTTTAGTATACCAAATTTTTAATAGAGTTATTTTTATTTTAAAGCAGTTTTAAGTTTTTTACTACAGTATAGGGCAGTTATTGCTCCTAAGGTAGTTTTTAAAAACTACAACCTAACAACCTAACTATAGAGTAACTATGTGAAATTTTGTAACTAAATGAATTTTACATTTATTAATTTTTTTTTCTTTGTAACATAAAACAATTTTTCTTTCTCTGTTGCAATAGTTTTAATTGTTAAAGAGAATGAAGATGAAGAATCTGGGCATTCATCACTTGAACATAAGACCATACATATGTAAAAACTTCTCATCATCTTTTACTTCACTAAATCCCAAATCTGTTGTAGTCTACTTTATCATCTCTTCTGACACGTTGATTCTCATCATCTCTTCTTTTGCGTTTTTGATTGTTTTTTTTCTTGATTTTGGATTATAATTTGTTAATCTATATAATATTAGTAAGTTCTAGAGATAAAACGCAAAAACAATGAAAATTGTATGATAAAAATCAATGGCGGCTGTGTGTTATATTTGCAGAAATCCTTACTAGGAAGAAGATAAACTTATTACAAAATTACCATTCTTTAAAAAAAAATAATTAGATGACCACGTGGATATGTACATAATGTGTATACATGTTTGTGTACACGAGTACATTAGATGACCACGTTGATGTGTACATAATGTTGGTGTACACATGTACATGTTAAAAAGATAAATTTGGCTTAATAGATATAAAGACAAAAAAGGTGGTTTATGTGAATTAAAAAACATGATTATATATGTACATGTGAACATGATTACATGGTGGACCTAAGTTTTTAGCAAACATTTGTGCCTAATATTTAGTTGGCATTTTCCAATAATCCCAATGATGTAATATACAAATATTATCAATTTGAATGCTAAGAATGAAAAATACACATGGAAAATTAGTTTTATGTTATTCAATATACGTTCACTTTTTTATCACTTTTTATTAAATTTGTATCTTAGTCTTTGTGGATAATACATTATGTGTACAATTTGATAATTTTTGCATATTCATGTATTCTAACATATGTGTATATGTTTCTTTCACATACATGAGCATGTTTAACGTGGACGCCTAACTAAGCAGAATGTGACTAGTAAATGCGTACATGGGGACATGTTTTAGGAGTGTACATGTGTACGCCTAAATTTCAATCAAGAAAAGGATTGTATAACGTGTGGTGAAAATGTGATAAGTGAATATATAGTTCTACATTATTCAAATATATACATATTAAAGCTTGTTTCGTGGATTATAATGAATGTGCACATACTACAATGTAGAACTGGATTAAGCCGGATGTAAATATTAATATGTACTTGTGTACACATCATCAGCCTCATAAGGGAGGTCATCATAGAGCAAGGGTATGTCAAATTCTTCATCGTTAATCTCAAATCCGGGAAAGATGAAGACATATTTAATAAAGTGCTTGTCACTAAAAAATTGAAAATAATGTGTACACATGGGTAATAACATGTACACATTGTTTAAAAAAAATGCGTACCAAGTTTCTTAACAAGATATGTACACATTCATAGGTGTACACATGGATAATAACATGTATGTACACTATAATATATGGTATTGTACAACTAGTATTGATGGAAGCATGCTCCCATATTTAACAGAAACAAAAATCTTTATATAATAATTTCAGATTTATACACTCTCCAGCAATATCCACATATATACATACTCCACAATATAACTTGTACAAGAATTGCAATGATGTAACGTAAGACGTACTATAATATGACCAAATACATTTGGTGTTTCAAAATTATTGTAATTTTGTTTTCATTGTGATCTTGTAAGGAATTGTGGTGGTTTGTTTATATCTAAAGAACACATGTATTGTACACAAGTATACTTTGAAATTGATGTACATATGTCCACTATGAAATAGACATATGTGTACCGTATGAGCCCTTAAATGTTACTATTACATCTTAATTAGTTAATTTTAGATTATGTAAGTAGCATTTAACTGTTAACATTGTATTTGCATAAATAATTGCATAACCAGGGTATGGAATGCATATATGTGTACATATTTATGTGTATATGTGAAATTATGTATATGTGTACATGTTTATATGTGTTTGTATGCATATTTTCACTTGTGTAATATATATCATCAAAGCAATGTACCGTACACATGTGAAGATGTATACATACATACATATAGTTGTACACATGTAAATTTTTTATTTTTTTTTTGCTTTAATAATAATTAGTGTACACATGTAATGAGTGTACATTGTTTTAATGATAAAGAGTATATATATGAAGATGTACATATGTACACATGTACATATGTACACATGTACATATAAATTGACCCTATTTTTTAAATGAATGAAAATTTTGTAATTATCATCTTTTTCCTATTAGGGCATTCAGCGTTTCTGCAACTAAAATCCAGAGCCACCTTTGATTTTCTTCCTTCAATCTTCATTTTTTTTTGAGTTTTTATCTCTAGAACTTAAAACTATGATAGTAATTAACCAATTAGATTCAAAAACCAAGTGAAAACAAGTTTACTCATAATATTTGAGTTTTGACAGATTATAACGAAAAAGCGATAGTTCTTTTTTGCCTAGCATCAATCCATTTGTTTTCGAGCATGACGACTAGAACGCGAGTGCTGCATCTATGTGAGCCTGTTGCGAAGAAGAAGAGTTCATTCCAACGGTGGAGATAGGTTATGGGTTTAATCGTCATCTTTATCTTCATATCTTAATCATCGGTGAGTAAAGAAGACGAAAACTATTTTTATGGTTTTGAGTTTCAAAAGTTCTTGACTTTTTTTAAAGAAAGTAAACTAGTAATTTTTTTTTTCTAATTATGCTTAGTTGGAAAAAGAAGATAAAGAGTTAGAGAAAACTACCGTAATAGTAATAACTACCTTATTATGTTACTAAAAAGAGATAATTGGCTAAAGTGCCCTATTTGGCACCTATAATTAGAGAATTGCCCATGATGTGACAATCACTTTCCTTTGGACCATTTTGCCCTTTTCTACACTCTCTCTCCTCTCTTTGACATCTCCCCTCTTTTTTTTTTCTCTTCAATCCTTAATTATTTTACAAATCTCTATCATTCTATATACAATTAAATTTTAAATTTCATTATTTTTTCATAAGTGGCTTTGAATCCTCAATTTTGACCTTTTTTTTCTCTCCAATCCCTAATTATTTTACAAATCTCTATCATTCTATATACAATTAAATTTTAAATTTCATTATTTTTTTCATAAGTGGCTTTGAATCCTCAATTTTTTGATGATATCAATTTTCTGGGTTTTAGATTCGACGTCGTGTTAGCGGTTAACAAATATTGTAGACGTTAACAGAAGTGTTAG